GGGTGACACTATGTCACAGGCTGCACTCTGAGGCTACACTCTGCCAGAGGCTGCACTCTGTCAGAGGCTGCACACTGCAGGCTCACAGCAAAGCACTATGTGGACACACAGGCAGGCCTGTGTGGGTGGAAGCCATCCAGTGTTACAGCCTTTCTTAAACCAATGAAGGGAAGGCAAAGACATAGGTAGTAGACAGGGGGCTCCACCTCATCCTTACACATGGTTCTGGCCATCCCCAAAAGTGGTATAACCAAGTACAACAGGCTATACCTGACCAGGAAAGCAAGAATCAATATGACAGAAGAGGGACAAAGGCATAGCCAGTGCTCTTAGGCACATGATACTGTGTCAATATCCAAGCGGCAGAAATGCCTCCCAAGCCCAACAGACAAATGTTACATGGGTCTCGGTGCTTTCCTGTGCTGCTCCTGCTGTCAGGCTCAGATCAACCATAATTAGTAAGTGAAAAACATAATCGAACACTTATTTTTATTCTGTTAATTCTATGTATACCAATATTCCAATATTTTTCTGGAGATGGAGTCTAGCTAGGTAGTCCAAAGCAGCCTCAAAAACAGAATCCTCCTGTCTCAATCTTCCAAGTACTAGGATATTAAACATGCCATGACACACCCACCTTGATGCTAATATTTACCTTTGTTTGGGGTTTGTTGCTGCTGCTGTCATCTGAGACAGGGTGGCTCTATGCAATCCTGGCTGTCCTGGAGCTTGTTATGTAGGCCAGGCTGAGTAACTCACTGAGATCCAACTGTTTCTGCCTCCCATATGCTAGAAATAAGACATGCACCACTATACCAGGCACTGCTAGTATTTTTATTGATGCTCTTAAATATTTCTTCAATATCTAAACAAAAAACAAACCTAACATTTACACGGAATGTTCTTAACTACATGACTACAGTGTGGGAACTGAGAACTGAAAGACAGACGTAAGCCTTTAGCCATGAAACCCCCACAGAATGTCTCTCACAAAAGACCTCCTTCATCTCTCAACAGAAGAGGAGAGGAAACACATGAAGACTCCCATGTAGAACTCCAATTTCTTCTTTATGGATGTGAAAACCCAGGATGCTATCACCACAGCCTTTGCTTTGCTTAGCTTTGCACAAATGGTCATGCTGTGTGTTAGTTTTACCACTGTCTACAGAAAGTTGTTCCTTCGGGAGGAAGCATACTAAAAGCAACCTGAATCAAGAGTGGGAACCATCCCATTAAATAAAATAAATACATAAACTTAAGTGTCTATGTACACCATGCATGAATATGCAATGACTTTTAATCTGTCTATTCTTTAGTTCAGAGGAAAATATACCCAAACTTTAATGAGGAAGCACACAAGCAAAGCAGCATCAGTGGGCAATGGATTTACACACTCTCACAGAGCCCTGCATCACTTACAGTCTAGTCGTGGTTTCTATCTGTAAACACAAGCTGCAACACAAGACCATCCTCACCCTTACAGTCATAAAAACTTCTGATCCTGGACAGGCATGAGAAGATACTATCAAGAAAAGCACAAATGTACACAAGACAAGGCATTACATTTAGTGGGTTCAGAGAGTCCACCTCTGCTTCTGTCTCAATCTAAACCAAACTCCTGCTTTTCCATAGGAGGAACCTCAGGCCACACAGTGGAGAAGTGGGGGCTGGAATTAGAGGCTCACAGTCACCGCTCTTTCTGGCTCGAGCACCTCTCCGAGTTCCCTTCTCACACTAGGCTATGTTGTTAGATCATCATGTGCCACAGCTCTGACGGAGGTGGATGACACTGACCATGGTTAGTGGGAAAGATACCTTAGACTGGCTCTGGTCTGCAGAATCAGTCACTCTCTGAGAACTTGCTAAAACCCTGACCATCAAAATATTGCAAAACATCCAGCAAGGGTTAAAAGCAATGCAGGAAATGACAATGTGCAAAATGATCCTGCTCCCCCTCTGAATTCAGCTGCACCGGCCGCGAGCTGACACAAGTAAATAACTAAGGTCTTCAGCGGAGGGCCCTGCTGAGTGACACACCCAGGACACGGGACAGGTGTTTCCTACATCTGTCCTTTTCAACTTGAAGTTTGGGTTAGCATTCCCATGCTTAGTTTCATAATGTTCTTTTTTAACTTGAAAATAACTATGTTGTATTAGATGGTCAGATAGCTGCTAGTCACAAGATTGAGAGGGCTCATTCTTGCTATCAATTACAGTGGCAGTGCACACACTGAAGACATGTCTGTACTAAACTGAAACAAGAAGTGTATGGGGCATGATAATATCCCTATTTTACAGATAAAGAAGCTAACCAAGGGGTCATGGGACAAGAAGGTGGAGCTGTGATCTGAAGACAGAACTGACTCAAAGGAAAGCTCTGAGGCCCACATCCATTATGAAAAACAACATTTCCTTAGTTCAGTAATTTTATTCAGTTACTTCTTGGCTAGATTCGGACTTTAGGGACTATTTTTCAAAGCTTTCTAAAAGGAAAAAACTCAAGGTTCCTCTCAAGCCTAGCATGCTAGGTCAGTTCCTTTTCATTTACTCATCTTCCTAGACTCATCAGGTCTTACACACCAGGTCCTCCTCTGGAATGTCACTTTCCCAGGCTCTTGATCTGGTCCACAAAGTGTTGTCACGGTTTCTAGGACAGCGCAGACACACCTCTCTCTAGACTCTCTCTTCTCCTCTGCAATCACTTTTCATGCCATGCAAATAAAACCTGTCTGTGCCAAGGGACCAGCCTTACACATCATGTGCATTCCAGGGAGGACTTCCGCCTGGCCACGCCCCAGAGGACCTACGAATACATCACCTGTTTCTGATGGGTATGGTGCTCAGAACACCACAGGGAAGTAGACCTATCACTCGGCCACTTAAATATCAATACCTTTGCTTTCAAAGGAGTCTACTTTCACCTCACTCCACGGAACCTAAACTGCTGAGTGGTCCGTGAATGAATAAAACGCAAGATAGGCACAGAAATAATTAAGAGGTCAAAACTGAATACTGGGCCTAGAAAGACCATGTTAGAGAGAGTTAGGAGAGGGCCACGCCCATGCGTCTCTGTGGGCCTGAGGTGGCTAACCTCCCAAGGTCTCAAAGTTTCACACACAGAGGACACACCACATATCCCCCTCTCTAGACAGCTTAGCAATTATGAGTACACACCGCTCCTGCAGAGGGTCTGAGTTGGGTGCCCAGTACCCATGTGAGGCCGACAATGTCTTGTAATTCTAGCTCCAGTAGATCTAGCACTCTCTTCTGACTACTCTGGGCACTGTGTATACATACACATACCTGTCTTCACACATGCATATACACATAATTAAAGCAAAAAAAAAATAATAAGGGGCTGGAGAGATGGTTCAGCAGTTAAGAGCACTGACTGCTAATCCAGAGGACCCAAGTTTGATTGCCAACAGCCACTTATTGATTTACAACCATCTATAAGTCTAGTTCCAGGGATCCAATGTTCTCTTCTGGCCAGGCACCAGGATCCCAAGCTGTGGGCAGACATACATGCAAGAAAAACATTCACTCACGCAAAATAAGGTCTTTAAAAAATTCATATGTATGTACAGCATTAAAAATGGACCGGATAGTACCTAAGTATCCTGCAACTACACAATTAGATCTCACCAGAGCAAGGAGAAGGAAAAAAGTAAACCACATTTAATAACAGGAGAATGTCACATACAGACTGAGCGAAGCAAGCCACACACAAAGGAATATATACTGTATGATTCTAGTCACAAAGTTCAAAGGCAAGTAAAACTACTCAAAGACACCAGCAGTCGGGACACTGGCTATTCCTGGAACCCTGAGGGCAGGAGATCTGCAGCACCAGTGGTTTTGTTACTAGAGATGCTGCATACACAGACGGGTTCACCTGTAACATTGTTCCATACAGCTATCTAGGAAGGGCATGTGCTTGATCCTCTATGTGTGAAGCATCGAGCCAGGGCCAGACCTCTCTTAACTCTAACGTAAAACAGGGTTTCTCTTCCCTCCCTCCCTTCTTTCCTGTCAGGGTTCAGGACGATCAGAATCACATTTCTATTACAATCACAACTCAGAATGTCCCAGTGTCCTGCCACCACCATGATAGAATGGCATTGTTTTGTTTTGTTTTGTTTTGTTTTGTTTTGTTTTGTTTTGGGAATGGGTTTGGTTTTGGACACAGAGTTTTTCTGAATAGCCCTGGCTGTCCTGGAACACCTTCTGTAGACCGGGTGGACTCCAACTCAAGAGATTTTTCTGCCTCTGTCTCCCAAGTGCTAGGATTAAACATGTTGCACCACGACCTCCCAGGAGGAATGACATTCTAACACTACTGAGGATATGGCAAACAAGAAGTCAGACAGTGCTGTGTCCATACTTACCATCCGGATGACTGACAGTACATGCTGGCCCTCAGCACCCTCCCTTCTCATAGCCACTGAAATATCTACTCAGTAACTACTTGGGGATGAGGCAACAAGGTCAGAGGAGTGTTTGGCACAAGGTAAAATGCAGAAGAACTTAGAGAATAAATCTGACCAAGTCGATCAAATACTTACCTCTTAGCCCAAGTTCAGGAACAGTATCACCACTTGGCAAGAGGAATGGGGAGAAGGGAAGCCACTAAGCCACATGAAAGCACTGCCTCAGCCTTCGGGGTCACTGGAGGGCCAACAAGCCTCACTCCTGTGGACATGCTACCACAGGGTCTGAAGGCAAAGAGCAGCAAAGCACCCGAGAAGGAAGAGGGCGGTGCTTTGGTATGCTACCAGGCCTGTGCTGTCCTGCTCAGTCGGTGCCAGATGAAGACTGGCTGGCAGACTGCCGTGGAGACACGCCTGAACCTGCATGTGCCCATTTTCACCATGCTGCTCTTAAAGTTTAGCTGCGTGTAAGGAGGGAGGGGCTGTAAGTCCTCAGGTGTGACGTGCCGACTGCTGACTACAGTACAAGGATGTCAGAAATGAACGGTTATGGGGGTTAAGCCTACTCACTCTTTAAAGAAATGGGTTCAGCGTCGATTTCTCAGCTCTTACAATCTTGCACGACGTCCTTAGCAAACTGATCCATAGAAGTCTGATACTGAAAAAAAATAAAAATATGTTAAAAAACAAATTTCAAATCATAGCACAGCAGGAAAAATGGCTTAGGTGGTGAACCGTTATATAAACAACGCACATCAAGCTACTATCACAGGAGTTATTAAACCAAGAAAATTCATGTGAAGGACTTCCTTCTACTGTCTTCCTTTCCCACGCCTGGCACCTCCTTTTCTGTCTCTTTGGCTCCATGCTTTTCTGTGCACCTCAGCTATGGACAGCCTCAAAAATTCCTTAAAGTTTGAATTTTCTGCTACAATCATCACCATGAATTTTTACAGCCAAAGTACTCAGCACATGGTGGATGCTCTATGAACAGCTGTCAGGTAAGCAAATGAATCGTGGTCTCTACAATAAATACATCTGTCAGTCTTTATCTGCCCAGGAATTGGTTCTAGGCTCTCCTGCTAGGTACTAGAATCCCAAGATGCTCAAGGGCTCGAGGATGTGTGGCCTAGGCCCACCATCCTGTGCACTTTATATCCTGCTGAGGTTACCTACGATGCTTATTTCTGGGTAAGCTGTCGTTACACTGTTTAGAATCCAGCCTCTTAAACCACAGACGGAAACCCAATATGGGATCGCATAACTGAATGTGGAGTCGTTAAAAACTCCACAGCAACAAAAGTTTTCAGAATATACGACGACCAAAGATCAATTCAAAGCCAAACATACGACAAATGTCAAATGTTTCTGACGGTTTCAAAAGACTTGTATGTCATATATACAAAGCCTTCTTTCTGCTCTTCTAGGAACATGAAGACTTAATTAGGAAAACAAATCCTTTTAACGTCTTAACACCATTTCTTGTCACAGAAGTAGCAAATTAGTACCTCACTGTACTAGAAGGCTTGGCTTTTTACAATTTTTGTTGAATTGCTTGCTTGAGTGTCCCCCCCCCTCTCTCTCCCTCCCTCCCTCCCTCCCTCCCTCTCTTTCTTTTAATTGTTAAAGTGAATTTTGACATGGGATTAGAACAGAATTTTTAAATTTTTCTTAAATACCCCTAAACATACTTTGACCATTTTATTTCACATACTTATGCAAAGTACCATTCTCGGCGTAAAAGACTATAAAAATCTTCTGGAGCAGAAGCAAGAGGGTGACGAGTTCTAGGCCACCTTGTGTTATTTTACAAGTTTTAGGCATCCTGGGATGTGTGAGATCCCATCCAAAAATAAAATACAAATCAACTAAAAACATTAAGATGCTCAGTGCCACACAATGTCAAATATCCAGCCATCTATCTTTAACCATTAATATATACCAAAGAATCTTTTTTTGATTCCTTAATAGTAGATGCTTGGCTTGTATATCTACTTTAAGTGTCTACTTCCCAGGTCATGTAAAAATTTCTTGGGCAGAAATGGGTGACAAGTCGAACGTTTAAGAAGCCCTGGCTTAGGGAGTAATGACAGGGTGGGGATCATTCAGGGTGGGGCAGATGTAATTGCTCCAAATACTTTCTGTCCAACCCTGCTGAATTCACATGAGGTCCTAGAGATATGGGGCCAGATGTTCATAGGTGTGTCGAGGTAAAAAGAAACAAGGAGATGCTTCCTTTCTAAGAGGAGCTGTGTGGACAATACAAGGCAACACATATGTCTCATGACTTGCCCTTCAGATACCCCTACCTCTTTTACACATTTCATACGTAAGAAAAACCACTCCCGTGTATCTATGAAGACCGTACATCCCCACCAGGACATGCTGACAAAGAAGCCTCAGGTGATAAATCCAGCAGGGAAGCAAAGATCAGCTCCAGCAGAGGCATTTATTCACGTATTCTTATCCAGTCTCCTCCTCCATATAAGGGCTCCAGGAACAGGGTTTCAACACTGAAATGAACCTCTTCTCTGGCAAGGACATTTTAGGCACAAGTGGAGGTGTGCATGGTCTTTAAGGAGTTGCTTACCCTTCATCAGATCACATCAGTGGAGTGTCTGGGCACTGTGCTTCTCCTAAAGTTGGCTTTACAGACACACTGCAGCAGTTGATGGGGTTTGTAAAGACAAGCCTGAGTTTCAGCTCAAGCTTCAATCCAAAAATAAAATTCAACTGATAAGCCATTTTCTCTCTCTCTCTCTCTCTCTCTCTCTCTCTCTCTCTCTCTCTCTCT